AAAGTAAGCAATGAATACAGCTGAAAATTTTATTGTACTTCAGGGGCATGTATACCAACATAATAAAAAAAAAATTTTGACAATTGGACTCTCCAAACCCGCGAAATTTTAAAATTCCCGTTATTTCCTGAACACACTTCGTACATGAGGAATACAGAATTGCTGTAACCCTCCAATCACAGACTGACAGAAAAGCTCCTCACTGAAGGGCCTTCATAAAATGAAGTACCTAGGGACCTGGGGACAGGAATGTTGACTGGCCTCTGTATATGGAGACTACAACTACATGTTACAGGCCCCTCAAATGGTGTTACATGCAGGAAATGTGGACAGGAGGAGGAATCCCCCACCACATGCTTGTCAGTGACCAACTCTGGCCAGGCACGCAATGAAGTTCTTTGGTTATGCATGGTTGACTCAGTGCCTCAGTCAGACAGGTTCTGGCTCTAGCACCGAGGACAGGACTCGTTTGAAGGGCCATAACAAAAACAGTGGTCTCCTGGGTGATACTGACTTGTCTGACCCTGCATGAGAAGTTTGTATCAAGTTTCTGTATACCTGGCTTCCCCTCAGGGAAGTACAGCAGCGCTCGCAGGGACAGTGGTGCATCAGTCTTGTAGTGTAGAGTGAATCGGGGCCTGTCATATGAAGTGCCAATGAATCTGTAGAACTCGTCATGCATTTCAGGGGTCACATCTTTGGCGTCCATCAACCACAGGGGCTGAAACAGCATATCGCGATGAAACGAAAGCTCTTTTATAAGAACTTAATAAGCAAGCAGCCCCAACCAGAAACATTTCTAACTTATATTTTGGAAGTGCTCAGGTCAAATCTATGTTGGACTCTCAACTTTGTGACTGAGGTTTTCTGTGGCTCTCAGGAAGTCACTCTACACAAATATTAGGACAGTACTTTAAATTGTGCCAAGACGACTTCCTTCCACATCCTTTCCAAGTCATTATTTACCATCATCAACAGATCTGATGGTGTCAGTAACACAGACAGCACAGCGTCAAATGATCTGATGACAGCAAATAATAAATTGTAAACAATGAGGAATGATGCGGTTATGGCCTAATTTAAGGTCATGTTCTGGCATTTGCCTGATTGGACTGAGAAAATCTCAGTCAGAAGAGACAGTGTCCCAGCTAAGATCCTAACAGAGCACCTCTCTAACGGAAGTAGGAACTGTTATGGCTTGAGCCAATGTGATGCACACTCTAACGGAAATGAGCACATTTCATGAAATATCCTTTCATCTCTATGAGCAACATCTCAAACAGAAGGCACAGTACAAAGAACATGTATGTAACATGAAACATTCTCCTCACTGGAAATTACAGCTTCTTAACTAAAAATTTATTCATCTGATGATGGAAACAGATCCAGTTTCTGAAAATTTGTGTTCTTTCAGAACACTAAACTAAGAACAAGGTCCAGAAACTGAGTACTCCTGATTTCTATTTACTGATTATGTAGTAAGGCTCTGATATACAGGTGCAATGTCAAATGTTTATTGGAGACTTGAATGTAATAAATCACTTAACTAAAGACTACAAACATCAAATCTCATCCAGAGTAACTAAATCCATGAAGCTGAGTCCTTCTTTCAAAACCAGCAGTTTCTCAGCTAGCCTAGATATTCCAAGCACTTTATGGAACTTGGACTGTTCATCATTGTGCTCACAAGATCCTGCCACCATTGAGCCCTATCCAGAGGCAGATGAATCAACTTCACATCTTGTTCCTTTATGATATGTTTCAATATTATCATCCTACGTACGCCTAGGAAATTGGCATCTGGATTGGAAAACTTACGAGCCACTAACCTGTATTGTATTTGCTTGCTTTCCATTCAGAAAGATCGGACTTCCAACAAAGTTGCTGTACTTCTTTATAATACCTTTGAAAAAGGAACACAGAAAAAGCCATTATTGACATTTTTGTCACCTTTCAGTGATATCATGATAGTCAATTCCAGGCACATGGATGAAATTAATATAGAAACTACTGAAACACCAGCTGAGAATTCACTTGGAATCATTTCCTACATAAGCTTTGGTTCTCCTGACTTCCTTTGCTTCCTCCCCTAGTCCTACCAGGTACTAAATGTTATGGAACGACACACTGAGGCTGATGTCTGATGGTATTTCCCATGAACAGTATTCACAAATTGTTAATCGTAAACCATCTCCCCTATATGGTACATTTAACTTCATATATCAATATACAAACAGTATCAACACTCACAGCACAGACACGATACCCTAAAAGAAAAGACTGCTTGCTCATTCATGACGTACTACAGAACTTAACGTTCATAAAATGTATTGTTGCTATGGTAACAAAACTGCATAATGTCAATGATAAAACTCGCATTTGCAAAACTCCTCCTATATATAAGGAAGGATAAGTTACTTTGAAGATTCCCCACGTTACACCTGAAATTTTCACTACCTTTATGCAACTGATATTAAACATTAGGTTCATAATTCATGTGCTGGGCACCTCTATAAGCACTAAGTTGACTGACTGCATACACATTCTAGACTGCTCTGCTTCATCATGTCAGACATGAAATTACATCTTTATCCAATTAACTTACAAATTCTGGCACTTCAGAACGTTCTAGACTACATGACAACATACCGCTGACTGTATCTTCATCACTGAACTCTCGATTTTCTTGTTTTAGATGCAGAACAATCTTCGTTCCAGGCTGTACACCTTCTGCTTCTTGAATTTCATATGTCCCTGTCCTGTGAACAAAAAGAAACACATGCCAAGCTGGATTCAGCACAAATTCCAAACTTACTAAGCACTGGTCAGTCACACAAGTTCAGTCAGCACAGTGACTAGTCACTGACTGGACAATCAATATTTGATGGGAATTTTCTCTATACCACCATACCTACAATGGCACATGTATGTCCTGTAGAACTAGGAGCCCTTCCCCCATGGTTCAGCAACTGGAACACAGACTGATCATCCAGTGCAACATTTCTTAAACTTGTCACTCAACACATCCCCTGGTCTCAAGAATGAAACTTCATATACCCCTTTACAGTGGTGAGTTGATTTTTATGTGCAACTGTGTGTCATCATGCGTCATACACACAAACAAAACACAGAGACTCTTCCATTTTAAGCAAACTCTGTTTATTATGTGTACAGAAAAAGTTGTACAGAAAACAGCTGTGAAGAAACTTTCAGTCCCCTTTGACCTATGTTTGCCAATGTCTAAAACAGACCTCACATGCCCCCTGGAGTATGTTCACTACAGATCCAGTGCTTCTGCCAACAACAATGGTGTTCACAGGCCCAGAATGATACCAAGCATTCAGTAGACTAGAATGAGAGTCTGCAAACACAGATGGCTCACTACATCATATGAACAAGAATATGAGATCTCAGGTTCTCATGGCAGTGAATATTAAGAGCCTGGATTTGTGATGTGACGCAATGTGACTGCCAGATGCATACCAACATTTTACAGGAACATAGCGTCTCCATCTCCAGAGATGAAGATAGCCAAGTTGCCTGGACAAAACCACCTACCACACCACACAGCATCTCATTCCAGAAGACAGCAGTATCCCGGAGTCACACTTCTGTTCCATAAACTGGCATGTCACATAAGTGACCCCCTAGAGCAATGTCAGACAGATACTCAGAGAAAGAAAACAAGTTAGGAAATTTAAGCATAGCTTCAGAATTCTGGAATGTTTGCTAACTTCTATTCAATTTGAAATAACTGTTCCAGGGGAAAGCTTATTTGGCCTAATATGTCTTTCATTTCCCTCTATAAGTTTTGTCCAATTAACTTTCACACTAATAAATATTTAGCAAGTTACAATCGAGATGTGTACAGAAATGCATGTAGGTCTTCACATAACAGGCATGTTACTGCTGTCCAGTTTCAAGCAAAAGCATAACAGATCAACAGGTTTTATTAAACTCCCAGTATCACATTTCTTGAAAATCTGTTCAGCAGTTCATGTGATGTTAAGATTTTTGAGGGTTGGTACCAAACTATATAGCGTCAGAGTGTATGAATACTGATGAAATGGAGAAGATATGGAAGGAAGTGGTCATGGCCAACTGAGATACTATCCCAGCATTTGCCTGAGGAGGCTGAACACTGAGGTGTTAAAATGGAGACAGACACAGACATGACAAAGCTAATAGGTGCAATTTAATAATTTTCTGTCAATAGGCCAACAAGGATAGATAGCAACAAGATTTTTACTGAATTTGATTTGTTTCATTCTGGTCCGTCACACTAACATTTACAAAGACAAAACAACTCCGTCCAGTGTGACTATTTAAGACTCTGAAGATGATCCGTAAGGATCGAAACATGTAAGGGTGCTAAGTTTTCAAGTAGTAAAACTTAAATAGTCACACTGGACGGAGTTGTTTTGTCTTTGTAAGATTTTTCCTGTTCAGAGATCAGATGACAGAATGCTACAGTTGGGCCATACAGGCTAATAACATCTTACGCAGTATTAACAAAATGGTGTAGCATGTTCAAAATGCATAGAAATACGAAAAGCTATGCAAATGTAAGATATGGAGAAGCAGAGACAGCTGCATCGTTGAGGTGGCATGATTTGATTACACGGGGTAATCTGCAGGATTACAGAGATGGTCCCTGAAATATCAGCAATTTTTAAACAACTGACATGGCTGACAGCCCAAGAAGATTTCATCATCTGTTAATATGCTTGCTCTGAAATGTTTCCAGGTAGACATTGTAGTTAGTGGGAAAATAGCTACATATATAGTCACCATGGACACACACACACAAAACTACTCCGTGGCTTGAGTCTGCAAGTGAACTATGCTGACTGAGTGACTGCCGCTTGTCAGCGAAGTTAATGCTAACTTTAGTGGATGGAGGGTGTCGTGTGGTCAGCGCAACGGATCCCCATAGCTGTTAATTTTGGTTTTCTAGACCGGTGTCACCATGGACATATGATTGAAAAATTGTTAACACTTCTTACTGTAACTTGGCCATGGGCTTCAGTTCATCACATTTTGAGTTGAATCTTAAGTAGCTAGCATGGACAAGTTTCCTTGTATAATCAAAATCTATCAAATAACACATGGCATGCAATAGTTCCATTACACTATCAAGTACACATGCTCCTAGCATTAGTTACACTGAATGAACAACAGAGATAATACCATGGACAGATGAATGGATGATAGAGTATTAAATTATTTTAAAGTAAGCCCTGACAGCTTTCTTCATTCCCTGTGGCAGCATTTCCAATCCATTATCCACAATCACCCTATCATTAAAAGCATTTCATGTAGCAACATTAAAGAAACCAAGAAATAAGCAAAATTAACTGATTATTACAGCGGTGACCATGAAAAGATATATTTTCTGGGATGTAATGTGACACACTCTGACAGGATTCATTGACACTTTGGAAGAATGCAGTGCCTTGACAAGTAAGCCAACAAAGCAAGCAGGAAGGTCTGCATCATGAAGGCAGTACTCTTCAAACTCATTACTATTCTGACCTACAAAATTATGTTGCCTAATCTTGACAGTTGACCAACATATCAACAATAATCTCCACTGGACACAGTGACAAGTGTAAAACCCTGCCATGGACTGGAAACGATATAAAAAGCCAAGTAAATTCGGAAGCAAGAACTCTGCTCCTTTTCTCTCTTGTAGGTACACAAAGTGCCCACATTACATCCTGCAACTCAGAGAAACACAGTGGACTACAAACCCATCAGAACTCCACCTGAAGCCAGGACTGTCCTCTACCTGACTCGATTTTGTGAACACCTCAACACTATCTGCTACCATGAAGCTCGAATAGAAACCAACTCCAAACTGGCCAATGATGGATGATGAGTCCTCAGAGGCACCTGACGTCTTCAGCTGTTCCAGGAAAGCCTGCAATGGAAAACAATTGAGATTTCATCAGAGGAATCTGATAGCAGACCTGACCTTTTTTTTTGGAAGATTCGGGTTCAATTCCACCCCAGGTGTGGGTGCACACTTCTCTCCCTTTGTACCCAGCAAACCTCGGACCTTGTAGGGAATGCTGCATATCCACATAAGGCTGATGTCCACCAAAGGGGGCAGGCCCATGGTAATGTGGGATGTCCATCTTGCTATAATGAGGCCACAAAAAGAAGTCTCATGGATGGTGAGGATGTGGCACTCAAGGATTCTCACTTTCTCCTTACTACTGCAGCCTCCCAAAGCTCTCTCTAGCCTATGACAATCAACCCAAAGCATTGTCAGTAACAAAGGAACCGGCACTTATGCAAACAGAATGGCTGGCTTCAACACTGGAGGGTGTCAGTCCATGGCCTTAGCATAAGCCAGAAGACCCAGCACATCTGTATGTGAAGAAACTGATCATACAACTTTTATGTACCAAACATATGATTGTGACGTTCATACGCAATGTTTAGCATGCTTTAGAGAGGGACAAGGCTGGATCTGACACTGTGGAGGAGCTCTACTACCTACAGTTGCCACAAACTGAGGCTCCATTCATAATCAGCCCATATGGGAAGAACTGTCAGCCAAATTCTGTCTTGGAATGAACAACTCTGGGGGGAGGGGGATCAGAATCCCTTGCTTCTGCTGTCTCACAACAGCCCCTGTAATGGACAAGTATGGAGTACTGGTGATAATGATAACTTGAGAAGGGTGAGACTGAGTCGCTTGGCACCAAGGCTTCCAAGGGACCTACTGTACCAGCCCCTATTAACAGATGAGTACAGAGGTTTGGTGCAATGATATGACAAGTAAAAACACCAAGTGCTCACAAAAAACTGCCCTGGGGCTGACTTGTCCATGTAAGCCCCACATGGACTACCCTGGGATTATATCTGAGCATCCCCTGCCCTGATAAGTCTGTGACTGATCTCCTCTTTCAGCAGGGGCACCCTAAGACAAGAGAAAGCGAGCAGATACTAATGAGACCAGCGAAAAGTCCTATTGAGAGTTCAGCCCCTCTGCAGAGAAATGTGCAGAAGTCCCTCATAATACACTTCTTTCCCAACCTATGTTCTGCCTGCGCAACGAATCTCCACGGCTGTTAATTTCGGTTTTCTGGACTGGATTATCCACCTTTTATGAAACACAAATGTTCATTTCATTATTGTGTTCACAAGACGCTGCAACTGGAACCTGCTCTCAGTCAAATGTATCCAATCCACAACCCTAGTCTGTAAGATCCATTTTAATATCATCCTCCCATCTGCAAATAGGTTTCCAAGCAGCCTCCTCCCTTTATATTTAAAAAACGGGAAATATTTATTAGTACTAATGAGATACCATGAGCTCAATTTAGCATCATACCAGAAGACGTATGGGGGAGTGGAGGTACAGCTCCATGCATTCTTAACAGTAACAGACGGTGATGAGTGGCCACGGAATGTCCCATCCCTTTACATCTGGTACCTAGTGGATAGGAGACAGTCTGGAACCCTGGAAAGGGGAAAAATATCCTGCCTCTGCTACAAAAAGAACACCGATTCCAGGGTCAACCAGACCATGCCCTAGTCGCTACACCAACTGAACTATCCCAGTGAGTCAAAACAAATGTAACATGGCATCTACTTTCTAAAGCACTAAATCAACAGAATGAACAAATCCAGCCACTCTTTTTATATGACTGTGTCACTTCCTTTGGGAAAATAAATAAATTACACACATAAAAACAAGCTTGTAAATATAGGTGCGTACCAACGTTTCGGAGGAGCATTTTGTCCCCAACTTCAGGGCAGAAATCAGTATGTTACCGCGAACCGCTGGTACCCACCCACGAAACTACAGTGTTAGAAACTGACATTAATGTTCACGGCCGTGATAAAGGGAAATTCAATCGAAATCCATTCATCAGTTTTCGAGATGAAACGTGCGGACGGATACGATCTCGCCTTTATACGTTCATTTTACGCCGAACAACAAGAATCTGCGAAGTTGCGTTCATGAGTGGCCACTTTCCTGTTCCCAGGATTGTACATATCAGCCCACTGTCAGTGGTAAATGGCCATTGTGACGCTGGCTTATGGCCGCCAATCCCGGGGATCACTTTGACACGGGGGTGAATTTATGGCCCTGGGGGGTTTGAGGGGGGTGGCTGCCTGATGGACAGTGACCAGACGAGGGCGTTATCAGGGGTTTGAGGGGGATGGCTGCCTGACGGACAGTGACCAGACGAGGGCGTTATCTGGCGAGCAAATCGCTCGCCGCCTGGGTGACCCCGTCAGCCGCAAATCTCATTCTTCCTCAGCCCTTACATCACAGAGATTACTTACTATACATACAATTTGCTTCTGTATTGTGGCGTACAGACCCGTTTGCAAACGGAGGCCGTTGCTAGGTAGCGTCCGCAACATACACGCACGCAACAACAAAAGAACTGTGTTATGCAACCCGTTTCTAAGCAACGGATCTGTAAACACGCCTTGTTGGAAACGGTGTTTCTATTCGGTCCGCATAAAGTGGCTATAATGTAAGACTTTGTGCAAATCGGTCCGCGATTTGTATACGGTTTTCAACCTTCCGCAAGTATGCGATTAGATAACAAAATTACGCAAGCAACAAGCAAAAGTCATACGGAATCATGAGAATGAACACATTCGCGTTATGCGACAAGGCGAAGCCAGACAGAAAATATCAATGCAGGAAACTAAAGGGACCCGAAGTGTAAAGGACCGGGGCAGTATCACGAACAGGGGTTTCCCCTACAGCAGTAGACAGGACGGCTGAGGTTTACTGTCTTCTGCGAGGCACCTACTGCCGCCATCTTAACAGTTGAACAAGGGCCGACAGCAGTTTCCTCCAGCTCCTACAATGCTAATGTCACCGAACAGGTTGGTTTACACGCAACACTCACAGACAAAATCTCTAAGAGGATACTGGCTTGCCTGAGGATTTTGTGGTTTTCTTCAGTACCTCTAGGCAAGTGGTGGGGCAGTACTTAGATTAGGACATGTCCATTTCCTTCCAAATCCTTTCCAATTCATCATCATCTAACATCCTACCAGGGTAATGTGAGTCGTGGGCAGTGACGTTTATTTGTGCTATTAATGATGCTGTCAGTAAAGACTATATAGATTTAATGACAGGATGGAACAGCTGGTGGAAACAAAACTGGCAGGGGAAACCGAAGTACTCAGAGAAAACAACGCAGCAAGATATCAACATTCGCCCTGCATCACGACGTTGCACCCGTCTGGGAAAGTCTTTATACCGACAGCCTCACAGAAATATTCTTGACTGAAGCACTGACCTTGGAACCGGACCGCGCGATGGTGCCAAGGTTTGAAACCAGATCTTCTTTTGTCATGCCGACTCCAGTATCCTGTGGCAAAAGAACAAACCAACATGAAAGCATGGAAGAATACACAAGATGATGCAGCTTTGTGGCTTGACAGACTGTGTACGCTATGCACGAATTTGGGCCATTGGTAATGTTTATGAAGAGCACCGCAAGATGGCATCGTCCATCTACAACTACACGTCATAACCTTGCAATGGCAACCATACGGAATATAAGGGGGTGGACTCATCGAGGAAACTGGCAACCGCAACGCAACCACAATTTCCGAGAATTGCTAGCAGCCTGTGTTGCGGTTTCCTCAGTTTGTCCTGCTCCATTTAGTAAAATGTGTTCAACTCAGGCTGATAGCAATTCTCAGAAACTGCGGTTGCGTTGCGGTTGCCAGTTTCCTTGTTGTGCTCTCGCCCTAAGTCCTGTGTAAGCACATTCGAATGTCCCACCGCATATGAATACCGATATATATATGTTGCACACAGAACCTAAACACTTTTTCAAGGATCATGTAACGGCTCACGTCACGGATGATGAACCTTCCCTCCCATAGCAAACACAGTATAGCAATGACCGCCAATGAGGGGCGCCTTAAGCTTCAGTCGGTATTCCGTTCTCGCTTTTCGTCGCAAGGAAGTACACGGTGTGCATATTATGTGACATCCTGATTTCAAAGTGTCCTTTAAACTCCACCATTATTATTTCAAAGTTGGAGGGGGGAGTGAGCTAGAAATTCTTCTTACAAATTTACGTTTAAGCGGTCTAAATTATTTTGTGTTAAGGGCAGAAGAAATGCTTTTTAAATAATTTTAACTTTTCGTACTAATATTTGTTATAATTCGTTCGTTTTTATATTCTTGGTAGATTCCTAGCTTGGCTGCCCCACGCCGCCCTGGGTTATAATGTATAATGGTGGAGTAACGGAATTAATACACCCTCTCCCCCATACCCCTTCATGGAGTAGTGCTTAATTCGTTGAGCAGAGAGGCAACTTTACCTCATCCGCAGTAGTCGTAGCTAGATATAAAAAAAAAAAGTAAAGCTATCCCCGTAACAGGCCGAGAAGGTCCTTATGGTTGCGAGACGTCGAAACTCCTACATCTATAGGCAACTTCTCCTGCAGCTGTACACAGCAGGTAGTCAAACCAGCCACAAACAGGCGTCCTCCCTTCGTACAGAGGCAACATATGAAGCCTTTCCCTGGACTGCCCACGGTATTGTTACGGGAGGGCAAGTTCCTCACTACCACGAAACTAGTACTGGAACCCCAGAGTGGGAAAAGAAATTCAATTCTCACGTTCAGAACGCCAGTCCACTTCCGATTACTTTTCCAGCCAACATCTCCTCCAGTCCAGATATACTTGCACGAGCGTACATCCTCATCAGTTAGTGACGCGGACCGGCAGGTGATCATGTGACATGCCGCCTACAAGCCGGAATACTTCATTGCTAGGCAACGGCGGTAAACACGGAAATGTACACGCACGCAACAATACACGAACTACCGGTTCGAGGTAAACACGCCTGTTACAGGAATTGTTGGGATGAGGTGTTTTCTATGTGGTTCGTGCCGAGAAGCGCCAATACCACACGCAATGCGCCCATACAACAAGACTAATCGCAACTGGGTACTGTCTGATACGCGTAGTTACGTGATTCAACACGCGCCAACTCAGCAGTGCTGCCATCCGCTGCATAAAATCACCAGTGACGCCTAGTGTGATGATTAATACATAACAGACCTGTATGGTAAGCATCCTCTTCTGCTTGTCGGTGGCGATGTGGATCTCCAGCGGCCGGGCGTCAGACTCCTCACAGACTTCGCCAGTCAGCCTCAGGTAACGCAGCTTCTCTAGTGCGTCGCTGGCGTTCGAGATCAGCTCCCGCACGAACACCTGCAAAAGAAAGTTGTCCCTAAGCTTACTTAATTAACTACCACGCCATTAAGACGTATGAGGGAATGGTGGTATAGCTCCATCATTCTTAACCTCCGCACTATATTGTGATGAGTGGTCAGCTTCACGTCCCTGCTGATTTAGCCCCAGGGTCCCCGATACCCAGCGGATGGGCCCTAGAGACGGTCTGGACACTGTGGAGAAGACAATTAAAACTATTTCCAAAAGAAGTTGTGCGTAAAAAGGAAATGTGAACAGTGCTGTGTCAAAGCGCAGTCCTGTAGAAGGCCATCGACATACAGGAGGTACGTACTGCCTCCATTTTCAGGGTCGAAGAGCAAGCCAAGCAGGAGGAAGGTACAGCAGGGACGTTGGTACATTTCTACCGGACTGCACGGCGGTACACCGCAGAACATGAATCTATCTGAAGCCGAAACAAGCGGACGGATGGACAGAGGCGAAACAATGGCTGTTTCGCGGTTGGGGTACGTGCACGCAGCCCAGCAGGAAGCAGTGCTGTATTGATTCTGCGGGGCCGGCAGCAGCACGGGGTGAACACCTCGCCTGCTGGTGGCGGCGCGACATCCACAGCCGTGTTTCTTGCCGCACCATTGTCGGTAAAGATCAAGCCTTCCTTGTGCTTCTTTAATTGAGCACCAATAAAGACGTAGGGGGTGTGGAGGTAAAGCTCCACAATTTTGAACTCGGAACTAGGTACGGTCAACATCACACCCCAGCCGCTTTTCCCCGCGTACCTTCTGGTTAGGAGGCTGGGCGGGCCCCAGAGCCGGTCTGGACGCTGCGGAATTCAGAGAAATATCTTAGCCCTGCCGAGAGTCGAACTCAGACTTCTCGGCCGCCGAACCCGCAGTCCGACGCCCCATTTGTTTTGACCGCAGTCCGCAGTAGCACCGGGACAGTTCACCCCTGGCCGCCACATTCCACATTCGAAACCTGACAGGCCCGAATTGCCGGCACGGAACATATAGGGTTCATCTCTCTATGTCACATGACCCAAGCAGTCTGTTCCTGTATGTACCATCAGCTGTAACATGTCCAAACAGCATATTTAATTGTTTCGTGTGATTCTCACAATAAACCGGCAGACCCTAAACCCAGGATGCGCCTCACAATAAAACAACGAATGTTTCCCAAACACCATTAACCGGTTTAAATTTGTAATGGTGAGACCGTGTCTCCCGTGAGGTACGTACTGAATGTTTTAAATATTACTGCACCGTCAATCCAGGCGGGTAATCATCAGTCTGTATCCCGCGGGACCCAGCCCATATGCAGCGTCAACGCTAATCCCTACATTGGACCAATTCTGCAGCCCAGCTGATGGCTGCGATGACAATGGCTGGACATGCGGACACACGCATATGGATACTAACGTACTGCCATGACAAATGTACAGTTCTATTTCTGGTGTGTAATTCAGGCCGAGCTCCCATGTATCGTTATGCGCTAACAGCAGAACATGATTTGGAGAACACCCACATGGCTGAACGTAAGCACGCATCTGGAAGGTCCTGCGATCTGCCATCTCAACACAGGTTTTCTTCCTTTTCTTATGGTTCCCAAGTTCCAACCTGCCACTTCGTGCTTCTCATTCAGCTCTGCTGACTTATATTCATCAGAATTACGCCCCTCTACTGCAAAAACCGTCCAAGTTCTTCTTTATACAAATTATATATTTCGACATTATTTCAGAAAACACAAATTCCGCAGCCCCTGTCTCGAAATAGTGTTTTTAGCCATCCTGACATCTTCACTTTCACACTGCCCTTATCACTAGGACAAGCGAACGATGCCTGGGAACCTTCTAACGAAATGATGCTGTTTCGCTGTCCCCACAAACTTTTCCCATGGCATTCCCTTTCCAGCTAATCTTCTCACAGTGCTTCTTCTTCAGACACAGAAGCTGAGAGTCGTTCAACTGGTCAAGGAATTCCGGGCCTTTTACAGAACCCGAAGGTTCATAACCGTGCTCACAACAGGACGACACTAGTTCCCATTATCAGTCAAATGAATCCAGACTATAGTGTAATATCCAGTACTTTTAAGATTAATTTTATTATAATCAGCCATCTACGTCTAGGTCTCTCAGATGAACAGGACGATGGATAACGTCCGGAAACACAATAATTGTATCCCCTTCGGGTTTTGAGACCAAAATTCTACATGCTCAGTTCATTCTCCTTGAGCTGCTCATCCTAATGTTTTGTGAAGAATACAAGAAGTGACGCTTCTCTTGACGCACCTCTCTGAACTGTGACGAACTGCGCCGCGCCACTGTCAGTCAGGCAGAGCCGACACAATGTTAATTACATGAGCGAATTTCATTTAAGTTTCAGCCTTTACATTTTGATAATGGCAAAAAAAAAAACTCCGTGGTTTTAGTCCGCAAGCGAACTATACCGACCAAGAGACCGCCGATTGTCGGCGAAATTAGTACCAACTTTGGTGGATAGTGGGTGTTGCGTGGTCAGCGCAACGGATCCCCACGACCGTTAATTTCGGTTTTCTAGACCAGAGCAGCTATTTCCTTGAAATAACTCCTCAATGATCCTCATGAGGCTGAGTGGACCCAGAAAAGCAATATCTTGAACGAAGAACGCATACTTTTGCGTTTCTTTTACAAAAAGCGTTTCAACTGACAACGTACGCCACCACATAATTATGCACTAAAAACCATTTAACCCTCCCCATATTCCGAACGAGATATTTCGTTCAGAAACACCAATCTTGGTGATAGGAGTATCTCCATTGTTTCTCAATCGTCGGCGAACACAAATATCTGTTATTCACACCTCACTGTACGCATGATACTGAATATACAAACAAATGAAGGCACCTGAACCCAAAACATGAGCAACACTCGCTAATGAAATTCAGATATACAAATAGCGACGTTCGGTTTCGTCAGATTATTAATCGACAGTATACAGACGCGTCGCATCGGGTGCAGACACCGGGGGATGGGAACCGCTGGATCTGATTTATTTAGCGTGACCTGCGGGGGGGTTGGGGGGCACCGTCGACCGCCCCCAATTATTCAGCATCACAGCGGAGGCGCTGGGACCCAATGGTGGTTCGCGTCCACGGGGGTACTGGCTGTTAAGTGTTACATGCACCAAACGTAGGGCACCGGTGGCAATCTGTGGGGACTTCCTATTCAGACGGTCCAGAGTTGGAATATCCTTTGAAGCTCCAGTCCTTACACCATCGCAAGTCTCCTCAGTCCATGCATGTGCGCCATGGCCGCTCGCTCACAATGTGAGGGTCCGATGTCCATCCGCCGATGTTAGCGCAGACGAGCACTGGGAAGGCTCGCAGCTTCTACACCGTGGCTTTGGCTTACTCTATGACACGGCCAGCATCCGGCACTGTAAGCGTCCGTCGGTCGGAAGGACGACGACACTGCATGATAAACTGGAAAGGGTCGTAGCTGAGGCAGTATCACGGAGCTGGACTGAGGAAAACCACGCAAAACCTAGGTCTCGATAACAGGTGTTCCGGCCAAGATTCGAACCAAGAATCTTCCGAATATGTCTAACAGACGGCCTTAGCTCTATGGTGTTAGGAAGGAGACGATAGTTCTGAAGGGCTAAAACTCCAGACCGGCTCTGGGGTCCGCCCAACCCCTTATCCAATAGGTACGGGGGCTCTGTCCCCAGGGGTAAAGCTGCCAGGGCGTGAAGCTGACCATTCATCTCCATCTAGTGCAGAGATCAAGGAAATGCGGATCTATACAAGCACTCCCCCATACGCCTTCATGGCGTAGTGCTTAATTCGTTAAGCACAGGGACAACTTTACATTACTTTACCATCGGGGGTTCTCGAGGGAAGCGGAGATTCATACTGTGGTCTTCTGATTTGTGATACCGTACATTCTGCTAAGTGGTTACCAACGTTTCGGAGGAACCTGCTGCCTGCATCTCCAACATTCAACACTGAAGATGGAAGCAGTATGCTCGTCCGAAATCTTTGTACGCACTTAGCATTCTGCAACACGTTGTCACATTCCGGAAATCGCAAAATGCGACTTGCAGCACCCTTTTCTGAACAGGCGTAATTCGTAATTCGAAACCCGGTTTGATCCCCGTTCCTGCCAGACTCCAGAAGGTTTAACCTGCACTATTTATACGCAAGGAATGATGGCAGGTATCCATCCGTGTGACGCGGCGCATCGATTTCGGATAGGCGCGAAGGGTTCCCTGTCCTATCTATCATCTTAATAGTGTGTGCTCCCAGGGGTGACGCAGCAATACATCGTCGGCAGTGGCGGACTGGATGACCTCCCACACACCGAGCACTTGAACCTGCGGCTCATTTCCTAGCAACACCTACCAATAATGTAACTAGGTATGAATGTCATCGCACGAAGGGCAAAACAGAAATGTGATGACGTCACATTCAGAGCGATCCAAAGGCGTTCAAACATGTGCAGCCCGACTCCTGGCAGTGAGGGGGTGTGTACGCCAGCAACTAGTGGGCCCATTATATGAGTCCCAGATGACACATGCATATGGAGCACCGGTGGAATAAGAATTGGCAGAAAAAAGCTAAATACTACGAGAAAACCTGCCCCCGTGTCATTTCGGCCACCACAAATTCCATCTGAGGCGACGTGGGATCTAAGTAGGGAAGCCGGCCACTAACCGCCTAAGGCAGTGGTGGGTTATTTTACGGTGCTGCCAGCATATGGACGGTAGGATACTGTGAACGATGAACTGTACAAGGTTCCGAAAGGAGCGGCCTTGGTATATTCGTGGTACTACCGCGGCATTTGACTGGAGGGACTGAAAAATAACACGAGAAACCTTGGTGACGGCCGATGTTCGAACCAGAATCATCCGGAATGTAAATATAAAGGGTTACCATGAGACCAAAGCAGTGAATGCGAGCGGCCATACTGCCACGCCGCCCATTCTACTGCGCCGGTTCCAAGTAGAGGCCTGACCGCCCTGACAATGAGCCTGGCTGCTACAGAACAG